ACTAAGAATAACGTTTCTAAAACCAAAAAACGCTTGAGGACGATCACAAAGACGAGCCGACCCTCGATCGGACCCCTGCTATGCGCGGGGGATCGAGGAAAGTTGTACTTGCAAGGAGACCGAACACATGGTCCTAGTACAACGGCAAACCGATCGGATCCTAGGGGACCGGAGTCGAGAAAAATCTTTTCAACCTCCCGAATCCTACGGTTACATGCCCCCAAGAAGGCTGATCGCAACAAAAAGAAGGCCAAGGCCCTCAGAGTCCTCCCATCCGAAAAAGCCTCCAAAAGAATATTCTACTCCTCCGTAGGCTCGGGGGCTACTGTTAGGTATCAATATTAGGGATACCCCAAGCAAGGAATTTAGTGCCCACGCTAACTTCCCCGGGTGGAGCAAGATGTATTAAAAGGTCTCGTCCGACCCCAAGGCCGTTGGCTCCACCTCGCCCGACCCCTTAGGTGCGAGCTTCGTCTCACCCGACACAAGGGGTCGGAGGTCTCGTCCAAGGCCGTGGGCTCCGTCTCACCCGACCCCAAGGCCGTGGGGGTCTCCCCCAAGGACATGGGCTCCATCTCGCCCGATCCCGAAGGTGCGGGCTCCGTCTCGCCTGACCCCATGGCCGCAGGCTCCATCTTGCCTGACCTCAAGGCCGTGGGCTCCACCTCGCCTGACCCCAAGGTCGTGGGCTCCGCCTCGCCCGACCCCTTGGGTTCGTGCTCCGCCTCGCCCGACCCCAAGGCCGCGGTTTCTATCTCGTCTGACGGTGACCCATACCACCACCAACCACTCTAGGTCCAAGCGTATGGGCCCAGGTCAAAACTCTAACACCAAGGAAGAGACTGCACGCCTCGATGTAAACCATGGCCATGATGGGCCATACCTGAGGATTCACATCAAGAACAGCGTCGGGCGTGCTGGTGCTATTCTGCCTAACCCTCGTACGAACACTGACAGGCGCGTCAGTTCACCACGACGTCCGTCGGGACAGAATAGAACGCCATGATCAGTAGATGACGCCTGCGCATGGCACCAGTGACGAACAGGGCCACGACGTCGAGCCATCCCTGTTGACATCTATAGGATCAGCGAGGCCCGCATGAAGGAGAAGAAGGACTCTGCGATCCTATAAGCTTTCCTCTATCTCATTCTTCTCCTTTTTTCCTCTGCCGTAACCCACGCTTTCCCTTGGCCAATAAAAGGGAAAGTAGGGTGTCCCATGAAGGGGATCGAGATCCGATCGATCCGACCACAAGATAAAAAAACACAAGAGCACGCCACGAGCACATGGCTGAGCAGCAATCGAGCTCTCAGCACCCATTCACTCCTTCCACCAGAGACTTGGGATCCTTTCCCTCTCTCGCCTGTTTGTAAGCCCTACCGCAAATCAAGTACCGGTAACACGAGCAGCAGTGAATTGGACGTAGGGACATTCCGCCCAAACCAGTATAAACCCTTGTTTCCTCCGAGCACACCATCCGAGCCAGATGCGTAAATACAAATTTACTCGTCGGTAGTCCGAAAACATCGACACTCCTATTCAAACATAGATCTCAAGGTATATCCCAAGCTTTCAAATCTCTTTTTATTGTCTCTCCATATGTCAATTTCGACCTTTCTCTATATCTCCTCATATTATTAGCTTGGCTTAGGACTCCACAATGCACTGGTGCATCTGGATGTCTCCTTTGGACATGGCCAAACCACCTCAACCGATGTTGGACAAGCTTTTCTTCAATTGGAGCTACCTCTAGGCGATCACGTATATCATCGTTCCGAACTCGGTCCATTCTTGTGTGACCGCAAATCCATCACAACATACACATTTCTGCAACACTCAGTTATTAAACATGTCCAATCTTTGTAGGCCAACATTCTGCTCCATGCAACATAGCTGGTCTAATCGCCGTTCTATAGAACTTGCCTTTTAGCTTTTGTGGTACACTCTTGTCACAGAGAATGCTAGAAGCTTGTCGCCACTTGATCCACCCTGCTTTGATTCTAAGGCTAACGTCCGCATCAATATCTCCATCCCTCTGTAGCATCGATCCCAGATACCGAAAGGTATCCTTCTTAGGCACTACTTGACCTTCCAAACTCACACTCCCTCCTCCTGTACAACTTCACCAAAGTCGAATCTCATGTATTCGGTTTTAGTTCTGCTCAATCTAAAACCTTTAAACTCAAGGGTCTGCCGCCATAACTCTAGTTTTCTATTTACTTCCGCCTGACTTTCATCCACTAATATTACATCATCAGCGAACAACATACACCAAGGGATATCCCCTTGTATATTCCTGGTAACCTCATCCATTACCAAGGCAAAGAGATACAGGCTTAAGGCTGACTCTTAATGAAGTCCAATTTGAATCAGGAAGTAATCTGTGTTACCATCATTTGTTCGAACACTAGTCACAACATTGTTGTACATGTCCTTGATGAGGGTCACGTACTTTGATGGGACTTTATGTTTGTCCAAAGACCATCACATAATATTTCTTGGTATCTTGTCATAAGCCTTCTCCAAGTCAATGAAAACCAAGTGAAGGTCCTTTTTCTGCTCTCTAAACCGCTCCATAACCTGTCTTATTAAGAAGATTGCTTCTGTGGTTGACCTTCCGAGCATGAAACCAAATTGGTTTGTTGATATTTGCGTCGTTCCTCGCAGGTGCTGCTCGATGACTCTCTCACATAACTTCATAGTGTGGCTCATCAACTTAATTCCCCGATAATTAGTATAACTTTGGATATCTCTCTTGTTCTTGTAGATAGGTACCAATATGCTTCTTCTTCACTCCTCAGGCATCTTGTTCGATCGAAAGATATTGTTGAACATGTTGGTTAGCCATACTATAGCTATATCCCCGATACATCTCCACACCTTGATTGGGATACCATCAGGACCCATCGCTTTGCCCTCTTTCATCCTTTTCAAGGCTTCTCTGACCTCCGATTATTGAATCCTCCGCACAAAGCGCCTATTAGTGCCATCAAACGAGTCGTCCAGCTAAACGGTGGTGTTCTCGTTCTCACCATTGAACAATTTATTAAAATACTCTTGCCATCTATGTCTGATCTCATCCTCCTTCACCAAGAGCTGATCCCTCTCATCCTTTATGCACTTGACTTGGTGAAGTCCCTTATCTTCCTATCGCGAGCCCTAGCCATCCTATAAATGTCATTCTCTCATTACTTCATAGTCAAACGTCGGTAAAGGTCCTCATAGGCCTGCCCCTTTGCCTCACTCACCGCTCGTTTTGTAGTCTTCTTTGCCACCTTGTACTTCTCTATGTTGTTTGCACACCTGTCATGATACAAGCGCTTATAGCACTTCTTCTTTTTCCTTAATAGCCATTTACACATCTTCATTCCACCACCAAGTGTCTTTCGAGTCGCATCTGCTCCCTTTGGTCACTCCAAGCACCTCTACAAGATCGTTGGGCTGCTGCAGAATTGAATAATTCTATGCCCACCAGAAAAGAAAGAGTTGTTGAAGACTACTTTGGAAGAGATCAAGCCTTCGCCAAAAAGAGTCCCTACGGTTGCACAACTAAATCTTGGACGCAATCAGGAGTCTCAATGCTGGGCAACATGGGAGGATCAAGTGTTCGGTGACGTTAAAGATGAGGAGGTTGCTGTGGAGTGGGCTATATCGCGAGGACTCTGGTGGATGTCTCTTAATAGTTCTACGGAGCTGTTGTAAGGGTCTGCGGTTTTTCTTCCTTCTAAGGGGTGAGTTGGTGCTTTGCTAGTGCCTAGTGGCTGGTTCAGGTTGAGAGTTTTCCATTTGTGGTGTATATGGGTCTCGAGGTTTTCTTCTGGCGTCCAAATAAAAGACGCAGACGCTGCTCCGTCGCAGCGTCCATAAAGGCAACGAGGAGGAGGTATGGGCGGCTCTGAATTCAATACGAGCCGCGCCTGCCGCCGCCTGCGGCCTGCCTTCCAAATACAACACCTGTTCTGTTCTGCCAGGCCTAGTTCCCCCGTCAGCAGAGCCCATCTGTGGAAACATGGGCGCGGGAGAGAGAGAGGGAGACTTGGATGGGAATGGGGTTCCATTCTCCACCTGATCGAATCGGATCGGACCATGGATTTCAGCAAACGCCTGGCCTCTTGATTCAGTGAGAGATTCGGTCTGCGTCATTGCCCTTGCCAGTAATGGGAAATCTGCTCTTCAGATTTTAACCTCAGCTTAGTAGACTGGCGGTACAGTGATACTACTAGCAGCTTAGGATGGATTCAGTGACGACAATAAACTTGTTAAGCTTTTTAACCGTATAAACAAAGGCTGCAATTCTCATTATTTTACCCCTCAGTCATTCAGTTTGTCCTAGTAGGCAAAAGATGCCTTCAGTTTTCAGTGGAAATCAAGTGGTTAAAAACCATCATCGCATGTCCTCTCTCACTCAGGTCCTTTCAGTTCCAGCACCACCGCTGGCTGCACTGCACAGAGGAAAAGGGTAAAAGAGCAATGGAAATGACTCAAGGCAGCTCGATGTCATTATCTCAGAGACACAGGGGTGGCAATGCGATGCGCAGACACAGACAGTCATTGCTGCTACGAGTAGGAAAGCGAGAAGAAGAAAAGCGAGCAAGGAAAGGGATGATGGGGGCACCACTGCCCGGCCGGCCGGCCGGCAGCCTTTGGATCAAAACTACAGTGGCAGGCTGAGCCGCTGAGGCAGGCAAGGCGACCCCCTCTCTCCTCTCTCTCTCTTTCTTTCTGAAAAAAAAACAGATCTCCGCAGGTTCACAGGACTAGCGACAATGACCCACCATGAGCACAGCAGAGCACCGTTTCTTCCTCCTCGGCTCCTCCATCACGTACAGTTTGCTGAACCAAAAGCAACAGACTGATGACGATGGCGGCGGCGGCGATGTGCACTGAACCGTGAACGATCGGTTAGGATCGCCTGTCCCGCTGTCGTCGTGCAAGGAGGAGGGAGGGAGGGAAAACGCCCGCGGCGGCGCGGTGGGCCGGCCGGCCGGGTGGGTGGAGGTCATGTGGCGACCACCATGCCGGCCATGAAGATGTCGTCGTGGAAGGAGGAGCAGGAGGACCGGGGGGACACGCTGCCCGTGTTGTTCTCGGCTTCCTCCTCCAGCTGAATCTCCTGGTCCCGGCAATTGCCGCTGCAGAATGCCTTCTCGCCGCTGCAAGAGTTAGACCACGCAACCAAAATTGTTATTAACAATTGTGAATGAATTATACGATGCCAAGAACAATTATTCAGTTCAGTTGGATGAATGGGCCAGTTCAGTTAATAATTGTTCAGTTTGGAACCGCCTTTAATAAAAACCGATGGAATTTAGTAGTAATTCAGCATTTTGTCTACTAGCTCGATTTAATATTCCATCACCATCTGTTCATTTCCAGGAAGATTAACAATTTTTCTTCTCGAAAAAAGAATTGGCATTGCTGTCAGATGAACAATGCATGAATCATTTTTTTACGGAGGTAACAATGCATGAATCAGTTCGCTGCAGTGACTTCACTAAGGCCCCGTTTAGATGTAATCCAAAACCCAAAATTTTTTCAAGATTTCTCGTCATATCGAATCTTGCGGCACATACATGGAGTACTAAATGTAGAAAAAAAAACTAATTACACAATTGGTCGAGAAATCGTGAGACGAATCTTTTAAGCCTAAATAGTCCATAATTAAACAATTTTTGTCAAATAATAACGAAAGTGCTACCGTAAAAAAAAAAAAAAATTCGCAACTAAACACGCCCTAAGATCAATGTTTCATTCCGAAAGCCAGCTCTTTTAACTGAAATGCTTCCCCAAATGATCCTATCAATGCACTGGAAGAATCATCAGATTAGATTAGATAATGGTCGCATCGGCATTACCGGTAGATGTAAATGTCGTTGCCTTCAAGCTTCTTCTTGCAAGCGAAGCAGGAGCTGAGGAAGTCATCGGCGCCGGTGGCGGCCTCCGCGGCGCACTTGACCACGACGTAGCAGCACCCGGCGGCTCCTTCCTCCGACTCCATGGCGGCGGCCTCGTCGTCACCGCCCCCGACCGTGCGAGGCTCCAGGATGCAGTCGCCGAAGATGTGCGTCGTCTTGGGGTTGGACCCACGCGCGATGATGCGGGTGTAGTCCTCCGACTGCTCGATCTCGCTCGCGGAGACCGAACCGACGAAGCGCCGGGACGCCGGCAGCGAGCCCGGGCCCGGGAGCTTGCCGAGGTCGAACGAGTGGCGCTTGCTGGCGTTGCTGATGACGAGGTGAGCGCCGGCGTCCGACACCGATCGAGTGGCCTCAGGACCAGACTTCAGATCCCCGTGGCGGAACTGGAACCTGCTGCACGGCACCAACATGCCGCCGCCGGCGGCGGCGGCCGCGGTGTCCGGGTCGGGGCAGGACATCGTCTTGCCGAGCTCCGGCTGCGAGTGCCCACCGCCGCCGACAACGGGGCCGCCGCAGTCCTTAGGCGGGGAGCTGTGCGGCCTGATGAGCCGCAGGCGCGGGCTGAGCAGGCAGTTGGCGGTGGCGGCGTCGGCCGCGAGGGCGTCGACGAGGCCCGGCGCGCCCCAGGTCATCCGCGGCGAGCGCGGCGACCGGAGCAGCAGCGCCTTGGGGTCCAGTGGCGACGTCGGGCTCCTGGACGACTCCGCGTCGGGCGCTGCGCGCTTGGCGGCGAACCCGACGAAGAGGCGCGGCACGGCGAAGAGCGCGGCGCCGCTCCCAACGCCGACGCGGGGCCGGGCGTCCCCGCCCCCGCCGGAGCCGGAGGAGTCCGGGGCCGGGTTGGGCACCATCCTCCGCAGCATCGCCGGCCGGCCGGCCCGCCCGCCGCGGACGCAACCTCCTGAAACCGGTGGCCGCTGGGGGTCAAGAAGAGGGCAAAAAGGTCACAAAACCATCGCCATCCGGCGAACCCACACGACGCCCTCGCTTTCTCGCCGCCCGCCCGCGGCGTCCAAGATCACGCCGTCCTCGCCCGATAATTACAGCAAGAAAGAAGCCCCTCCCGTTCTCAGCGATGCGTCTCGTGTGGAAGAAGAGGAAAGGAGCACGGCGCACGCATCGCTGGGATGGCCAACGTGCTCGTCCAGCTCCTGGGCAAGAAATAAGGCGAGGAAGAAAGGGGGGAAGCGAGCAGAGCAGAGTAATGCGTCGTGCGAGGCGAGGCGAGAGGAGAGGGGAGGAAGCCGAGGGAGGAGAGAGCCCGTGCTGAGATGAGAGAGGAGGGAAACACAGTGGCAGTGAAATCACACTGGCCTGCTGCTCCTACTTGTACGAACTGATACCCCTCGCCTCTGTCCCTTTGTATGCATCAAAATCAGAGACGCAGAGCAGAGAGAGAGAGAAGAGCCCTGTGAGGCTGTGATGAAATGAAATCGTACTGCCACTTCTCGTACAACAGCAGCACCACGAATCCACCACCACCCACCCCCGCCTGGATTGCCATTCATGGATGTCAGAGAAAGGGAGGCAGATGTAACATTTTTAACTGTGCTGCCCTGTACTGTACGTATGTACGTACACGTAGAAATACGACCTGCCACGTCCACGTACGTACAGTACGGTGCGGCTGGGCTCTCTCTGGACACTGGAGCCTCCCATCCCATCGGCTGCTCTTGCTGGACCCCACGGCGGCACAGCGTTGTACTAGTACAGTACAGCGCGGCGATGCAATACCGATAACCGTCTCGTGTCTGGCCTGTCATTTCAGTTTTCATGCTTGCAAAAAGAGGGGAAACAAATTTCCTCAGGTTAATTTTAGTTGTTGCATGGTAGAGAGATCTGAGCCAAATCCAACGGCTGCAACTGTTGGGTTCAATGAATCTAGCCATTTTTTTTCTTTTGCCTGCGTTTTTTTTCTTCTTCATTTGAGCACGTCGCGCCGCACGTTCATTTCATGCTCGCATGCTTGTTGTGCTTGAGACACAAGGCCTGAACGGAAACTCAACGGCAGTAACGAGAGGAGTACTAGGTTCTCCGGCGTTCCATGAACCTGGACGCCTTTGAAATCCAGGACGCCAGGACGACGCGGTGCACGGACGCGTGTGCATGCGGCATGTCTGTCTGTCCGTCGTCATCCATCCACCCATCACTCCCGATCGTCTCTCTCGAATGACCAATGCAAAAACAAAATTAACTACCTCTGCTGCGAAAAACCGTTCAAAGCTTATCAGGGGTGTTTAGTTGGTGAGTGAAATTTTTTTTTGTCACATCGGATGTGTCGGAAGGATGTTGGGAGGGGTTTTTGATACTAATAAAAAAACAAATTATAGAACCCATTAGTAAAACTGCGAGACAAATCTAATAATACTAATTAATCGGTCATTAGCACATGTGAGGTTACTGTAGCTTTAAGTTTTTTTATGGAGTAATTAGGCTTAAAAGATTCGTCTCGCGATTTTACCGATAACTGTGCAATTAGTTTTTTTTTCGTCTACATTTAGTAATCCGTGCATATGACTAGACATGCTTGTTTACTGTAGGAGCAAGAAAAAAAATTGGAAACCAAACAGGGCCTTAATTGGCGTACGTAATCACTACTGCCTCGCACATGAGCGGTGAGTCGAGAATAAATCCGCATCAAATTAAGGGTGCCAATCAGCCACCGTACTCTCGTAGGAGTACCCAATAATACACACCCAAATACAGCATGATAGTCCGTTGCTCTCTGATCTCGTGCTTCTGCGTTGGGGATGCACAATGATTGGACTTTTAGGGCCCCTCGCTAGGCCTCTTTCTCGTCTTTCCGTGGCGCGCGGCACTGAACGATGCAAATGTGAGATGTGCTGTGCTGCAAAAGAGAAATCATCACCGTGCTTAGCATTGCTCTCCTTGCCCTCCCCCGAACTTCAAAGCTGCTCTTGATTCAGATCACGCACGCTTTAACCTGCCGGCAGGCACTATTACTGTTCCTACGAAAGCGTAAAGACGTTCTCCGAGTTTATTCACCGGTGGTAATTCAGCGCGTCTTTTCTTTTCCTCGGGCCCCCGTCCGTCCACCCTGCAATGCTTTCTGCTTGCGTCTGCGTGTGGTGGAGTGCGTGGTCACGCATGTCCGGGACGGGTTCCTGTTCGTCTCGTGACGAGCTCGCTTTCTGAAAGCGCCCCTGCTTTCGCCATGGGACTACGGGAGGACGAAGACGAGCGCCCTCTCTGTCTCTCTCTCTCTCTCTCTCTCTCTCTCTCTCTCTGTTCTCTTCTATTCTAAACAGTAGTATAGGATCGATGGATGGATGGATGGATCGGACAGCATCTCGGCATGACGGCATGGTTTCCTTGTTATTTTACAGTTTTTGCATCTATGATGGCAGTACTGTACTGGTAGAATGCAGCGGCTCATTATGCGGGTAGAGTAGAGGCGTGGTGGGGCCGGCCCTGCATGGCCACTCAGCCAGACCCTACTGCTCCGTCATCCCCTGCCGCTCTCTGTTTCGGGATCTGTTTCGTCCTCCGCTAAAATTTACTCCCCGTTTCATCGGACGTCTGAAATATACATAAAGTATTAAATATATATTAAAAAAATAACTAATTATATAGTTTAGAATTAATTTATGAGACGAATCTTTTAAGCATAATTAGTTTATGATTTGATAATATGGTGCTACTGTAACACATATGCTAATGATAAATTAATTAGACTTAATAAATTTGTCTTGTGGATTACTGACTGATTCTATAATTTATTTTTTATTAGTATCAAATACCTTATATGACACCCTCATGTAATACATGTGACACCCGAAAATTTTAGACCTGTATTTAAAGAAGCCCTCAGTTTTCCTCGCCGTTGTGAGCTCGAGCTCTGAATCTGCATGGTGAATGAGTGCAGTGTTAACGCAAACGCAAGCATCGGCCATCGGGTTCGTTCGATCCATCGGTGGATTGGTTTCTTCTGCTCGTGTCGTCACCTCAGGGCACTGTTCCATGGTCAGGGGCGAATCTATGTGTATGCACTGGGGTCAGCTGACACCGGTAACTTGCTAGAAACTCACTTAAGTTCTTTAGTTCAAATTACTCATTTAAATAGAGAATCAACATGTGTTTGACCCGTTGCTTAGTCCTTAGACCCCAATGACATGATTGTTCTGTTCGTTTGGCTGATAAATCAAAGTATTGTTGGCTAATTTATTAAGAGAAAAAAATATTATTTATTGGCTTAAAAAAATATAGCTTATAAGTTAAATAAACGAGGCGGATATCCTGGATTTACCCCTGTCCATGGTCCACCGTATAGTATGTCCGTTCCTGCATGCCATTGCCGTGCGACGGTGAGCGAGCGAGCGCACAAGATGACAGGCGTACTACTCCGCACGTAGTACGTTTTGGTGTGGCAGCTGGCAGACCCACAGATGACATAAGTACATCTTGCAATTTGCTTTAACGTTTCCTCTTCAACTTGTACCGGTGCTGGGCGGCGTACGTACACTAAAGGAGGCCCTCTTCGAAATGGTTGAAAATTTCGTGCTTCCTTAGAGTGTAAATTTTTTTAAGACAACACAGGAGGGGGTGAGAACCTCATCTGAATGATTTTTATTGATTTTTATTGATGTCAGATAGCCGGTGACGGAGGGTGCCGATGCACCTACAAAGTTTTCCGAATTATATAGAGGGGAGGAGAGCTAAGACATTACAAACATTTCGCACCATTTATCAATGATCCATCTATCTTCAAATTTGAGTCGGCAGCAAGGTCAGAGATTACGGAAGACGACATCATGTCAGTGGTTCCAGATTTGCCAACAACAGAGCAGTATCATAGTTGAGAAGAGCTTTGGGGGTACCTGACCAGGTCTCGGCATATCCTAGAGGTGATTGACCGATGTAAAGATAGATTTTATCACCCCGGTTGGTTCCAGAAGGCTCAGGCAACAGTGCATTGGAAGATGAGGTGGTCGTAGCATTCAGGTGCTTGACCACAGAGCTCGCATGTGTCACTGTCCATAACATGTTTCTTGTGGAGGTTGATCTTGCACCGGACGCGTTCTTTCAGCAACAGCCATCCAAAGAATTTGACACACGGGGGTGCGCGGCTCTTCCAAACAAAGCCGTAAATCTTGCTGTGGTTGCCATAGTGGGTGGAGGAGTGGTATAGGTGGTCGGAGTCCAATCTCCTATCGATGGTGAACTTGCTTGTTCGCATATCCGGTTGTTGACCCAGGGTGATGGAGGCGATCAAGGCTTGGACCTCCAGCGGTTCTTGGGCCGCCTTGGGGGATAGTCGGTTCACTAGCATGGAGGTGAGACCCTAGTTGCAAACTTCTCGAACGGACACGCCTTGATGCGTGCAGTGGCTGAGCAGGCATGGGTACTTTTGCGCCAGTGGGGAGCCATCCGCCCAGGAGTCCCACCAGAACGCTGTTGTCGCACCATCCCCAATGGCGCCCCTTGTGTGATGCATCGGTAGGCTGGGAGAAGGGCCTTTAGTGCTCCAGTGATTGTCGTCTGCCTGGCCTTCCATCGTTACCAGATCAGTGTGTCGGCTAGCCCATTGTGCCCAAACAGATTCCGCAGGATGGTGGAGGTGGTGAAGGAGCTTGAGGAGGAGGCATGCGTTTTGAGTGGCCAGGTCTCGTACTCCTAAGGCCACCTTCCTCTTTGGGCTTCTAGGCGTTGTCCCAACTTACTAGACAATTGGCGCCAGACGTTTGTCAGACCCAAACTAGAGGAAGGCGCGCCTCTTGTTGTCAATGGTCACAATCACTAGGAGGGAGTGCCACGGCTTGCATCATGTAGGTGGCCAAGCCATCTAGCGCCGAGTTTTCGAGTGTAAAAATAGAGTAATTCTTGTATAATTCTTGCGTCCTAA